GCGGAGGCGCTCCCCCTCGAAGGCTGGCGCTGGGGCAGCCCTCGGCGCTGGAAGCGCCAGCGCCCGTCGCGGCTGGGGAAGAGCGAGGAGCCTCCGGGGCGGGCGATGGGCCCCCGTTCCAACGCTTGTCGGCGACGGCTCAGTCACCGGTTACCGCCGCGGCCCTGGCGGAGTGCAAGGAAAGTCGCCACGCGCCGCCCCGACCGGCCGCGGCGACGAGGACGCACGTCGGCGACGGGGTCGGCGTCGGCGTCGGCGTCGGGGCCGGCGCCGGCGTCGGGGCCGGCGCCGGCGTCGGCGTTGGCGTCAGCGTCAGCGCGGGCGTCGTCGCCGTCGCCGTCGTCGTCGGCGTCGGCGTCGGCGTCGGCGTCGGCGTCGGCGTCGGCGTCGGCGTCGGCGTCGGCGTCGGCGTCGGCGTCTTGGACAAGGGCCGTCTGGGTTCCGCTTTCTGGGCACGGCGACGAGGGGCGTCCAGGACGACTGCTGGCGACGGGTTCGGCGCCAGCGTCGTCGTCGGGGCCGTTGCCAGCTTCGGCGTCGGCGTCACCGTCGGCGTGGTCGTCGTCGCCGCCGCCGTCGGCGTCGGCGTCGTCGTCGGCGTCGGTGTCGAGGCAGGCATCGAGGTCGGTGTCTTGGAGCAGGGCCGTCGCGGGGCCGCCTCCACGGGCACCGTTTTCGACCGTCGGAGGACGGGGGCCGCCCGGAACCCTCCAGAAAGCGGCGGCCGCGCGCCCCGTCGGGGCGCCTTGCCAGGGGGGGCCTCTTGGCAGACGACAGCATCGATAAGATTGCGCGGACGTGGCCATCCGCGTCCACGAGTGCACTCGAATCCAAGTACGGGGGGGGTGTCTGCGGTCGAACTAAATGGATCGGCCGCCCCCGCAGCCCTGCCCCAATGCCCGGTTCCGCGCTAAGCTTGGGCGTCTGGCCGACGCCGCACGCCACCTTCACTGGCGAGCCTGGAGTCGCCGGGGGCAGGACCCAAACACGCGGGCCCCTCGCGCGCTGGCTGACCCGCATCGCTTGCACCGGCCCCGTGCCTGAGGGCGCCCTTACTCGCGGTGACTTCCTGTTTGGCGCCCTTACTAGGTCCACTTATGGGCGAACCGGGCCCTGGTGGAGCGCCACCGGGTTCCCCGGTCCATTCAGCAATGCCAAACCTGGGTCCAGGGCTCGCTCCCATGCAGCGTTGCTCCCGAGGCTGCGACTGGGGTTCATCGCGCTGCCCACGATTGCGCCGCTGGGTTCCGCTTTCCGGCCGCGGTGACGAGGGATGCCCAGGCTCTCCCCTACCACCGCCCCCACGATCTCTGACGCCCTGGGCGTCCAGCCGCGGCGACGACGAAGCGAGGGCAGCGCACCAAACTGGCGCAAGCCCCTCCCGCCGCGGGTTCGGTCGGGGTCGCACCTAACCGGCGCAATAACAACGAGCTGGGGCTGAGCTCCCCTGCGGACATCACCACACCCAGGCTAGAATGATCCGTGTCGCGCGGAGGGCGCCCGTGGTGTCCGCCACCGTTTCCTCCCCCGTCCGCCTCAGGTCTGGGGTCGCACCTAACAGGCGCCAGCACGGAGAGACGGGACTGCGGCTGAGCCCTGCCTGCTAACATCATCGCACCCAGGGTAGGTTGATCCAAGTCGCACGGAGGGCGTCCGCGGTGTCCGCCCCCGCTTCGTCTCCTTTCCGCCTCGGGTCGGGGGTCGCACCTGTCTGGCGCAAGCCGGCGCGCCCAGGGCGTGGCGCCCCGCGTCGCACGGGGGCATCCTGGGACCGCCGCGCCCCGGCGGGGCGATTCGCGGGACCCCAGACGTCTTTCGCGGAGGCGCACTGTTGCGGGGGCCTCCTTTTACTATAGGCCCCCTGCGCCCCAGCAGAAGGCTGGAATCCGCCCCCCCCCTTCCTCCGCCCCTTTGCTGACACCCCGAGAGTCCAGCCGAGGCGACGAGGAAGCGAGGGCAGCGCACCTAACCGGTGCAAAAACTGCGAGCTGGGGCTGAGCCCTTCCTGAGGACATCGTCACACCCAGGGTCGAGCGATCGAGTCGCACGGAAGGCGTCCGCGGAGCACGGCCCCGCCTCCTCCCACTTCCGCCCTGGGTCTGGGGTCTCGCGCGGATGGCGTCCGCGGTGTCCGCCCCCGCCCCCTACCTTCCGCCTCGGGTCGGGGGTCTCACCTAACCGGTGCAACCGCGGAGAGATGGGGCCGAGCCATCCCTGCGGACATCGTCACGCCCCGGGTCGAACGATCGAGTCGCACGGAGGGCGCCCGCAGTTTCCGCCCCCGTTTCCCCCCCCTTCCGCCTCGGGTCTGGGGTCGCGCCGAACCGGCACAAGCACGGAAATATGGGGCTGATCCTTCCCTGCTGACATCGGCGCACCCAAGGCGTGGTGCTCCGTGTCGCAGGGGGGCATCCTGCGGTCGCCGTGGCAAGGTGAAGCGATTCGGGCGCTCCCAGACGGCCCTCGTTGAAGCGCGCTGTTGCGGGGGCCTCATGTGGTCCCCAGCATTCCAGCAGACGGCTGGATTCCGCCGAGGCACTTAGGGACGCCGTGGCAAGGGCCCCGCCACACAAAGGGGAGCTGTTGCAGGGTGGGACCATTCGTGCGCTCCCAGACGGCTTTAGTTGAGGCGCCCTGTTGCGGGGGCCTCGGCACACTTGGAACAGCCAGAGTGGCGGGCGAAGAAACCCAGGGTACCCCGAATGCTCAGAAGTTTCTTGGAGGTTCTGGCGCGCGCCCCGAAACAGACCGATGCCCAAGAAACCCAGGGTGCCCTTTCATTTGCAGTTTCTTCGAGATTGCGGCGACCTTCCGCGCCGAACGCCAGCCAAAGAAAACCAGGTAATCCTGACGGAACGTAGGGTGTTTGGTCATGGACCCCCACTGCATTGTAAAAAGCCCATTCTCAGCATCATCATCATCATCATCATCATCATCATCATCATCATCATCATCATCATCATCATCATCATCATCATCATCATCATCATCATCATCATCATCATCATCCTCATCATCCTCATCCTCATCCTCATCCTCATCATCTCATCATCATCATCATCATCATCATCATCATCATCATCATCATCATCATCATCATCATCATCATCATCATCATCATCATCATCATCATCATCATCATCATCATCATGATCATCATCATCAGCAGCATCATCATCATCATCAGCATCATCATCAGCATCAGCAGCATCATCATCATCATCAGCATCATCATCAGCATCAGCAGCAGCATCATCATCACCATCACGATCATCAGCTGCAGCATCGCCAGCTTCGGCGTCGCCACCACCACCACCGTCATCATAATCAGCATCATCAGCATCGTCAGCATTATCCGCATCCTCGTCGTCATCATCTTTACACAATCGTCGTCATCATCAGCATCACCATCAGCATCATCAACAGCGGCAACAACAACAACAGCAGCAGCCTCGTCACCATCATCATTCTCATAAACAGCATCAGCATCATCAGCAGCAGCACCATCAGCAGCATCATCATCAGCATCGTCATCATGATCATCAGCATCATCATCTGCATCAGCATCAGCATCAGCATCAGCATCAGCATCATCATCATCATCATCATCATCATCATCATCATCATCATCATGACCGCCACTACCATGATCACCGTCATCATGGTAATCGTCATCAGCTTCGTAATCCGAATAGACGCTATCACCGTCATCGCCTCCATGGTCGTCGTCGTGGCCATCAAGCCCTTCCTCCTCCTCCTCCTCCTCGCCCTTCTTCCTCTCCTCCTCCTCCGCCTCCTGCTCCTCTTCCTTCTCCTCCTCATCATCAACATCATCATCAGCATCATCATCAGCATCGTCATCATGATCATGATAATCATCATCATCAGCATCATCATCATCACCACAATCATCATCATCAGCAGCATCATCATCAGCATGGTCACCATGATCATCAGTACCATCAGCATCCTCATCATCAGCAGGATCATCATCATCAGCATCATCATCATCAGCATCGTAAGCATCATCATCAGTATCATCGTCAGCATCGTCATTATCATCATCAGACACAGCATCATCACCATCAGCAACACCAACATCAGCATCAGCAACATCGTCATCATCATGACCATGACCATGACCATCACCATCACCATCACCATCACCACCATCATCATAACTATCTGCATCAGCATCATCATCAGCATCACCATCAGAATCAGCACCAGCAGCAGTATCAGCATCATCATCGTCAGCATCAGCATCATCATCATCATCAGCATCATCATCACCAGCATCAGCATCAGTATCAGCATCAGCATCAGCATCAGCATCACCACCACCACCACCACCATCATCATCATCATCAACATCATCATCATCATCATCAGCAGCATCAGCATCAGCATCAGCATCAGCATCAGCATCAGCATCAGCATCATCATCATCATCATCATCATCATCATCATCATCATCATCATCGTCATCATCATCATCATCATCATCATTATCGTTATCGTTATCGTTATCGTAGTCGTCATCTTCGTCGTCATCGTTGCCATCACTCGCACGCCTCCTCCTGCACCTCCTCATGCTATTGCTCCTCCTCCTCCTCCTACTCATCCTCCTCCTCCTCCTCCTCCTCCTCCTCCTGCTGCTGCTGCTGCTGCTGCTGCTGCTCTTCCTTCGCAACCTCATGCCCCTCGTCCCAGAACCCCTGCAGGGGGAGCAGCCACGGGGGCAGGGGGGGATGCGGAGCAGCAGGAGCAGAGCAGCAGGTCCAGGAGAGGTGGGACGAGGAGGGCGGGGGGGGGGGCAGCTCCGTTGGGGCCACCTCGCGCCACTGGCCTTCAAGAGCTGTCGGTGATGGTGGGGATGGGGAAGGGCGAGGAGGAGGAATACTTCGCATCAACTGCCAAGGAGCCCACCCAAGAAGCAAAGGGCTGCGGCCAGGGGGGGGGGGGGCAGGAGGGGAGGAGGGCGAGGACGCGAAAGACTCCTCTAGGAACTCGAACACCAGCACCAGCTTCTTGCACGAGCAGAAGATGTCGACCAGCTTGACGATCTGGGGGGGTTCGTGCAGGAGCCCGCTGGCTAAAAACAGTACTCCCTCTCGTCCCCACCCCCCACCCCCCGTCGACGCCCCACCCGCCCCAAGGAGCGGAGGGCGAGAGGAGAAAGAAGGAGGCGGAAACGTGTGTACATATATCCGCCGGCCCCCTTGTGGGGCCACCAGGCTGTAGGCCGGAGGTTCGCAGTTTCCTGTACCAGTTGCAGCGTCCAATTTCCACTATTACAGTTATGCTTATTGCTGCTTACTGCTCCTTGTTATAATTCTGCTTCTTGCTGCTTACTGTTCCTTGTTCATGGACCGCGCGAGGGGGGGAGGCCCAAAACGGGCATTTCTACCGCGCCCAAATCGTATTGTCTGAATTGGTGGGGTGGGTAAAAATTAACACCCCTCACGCAGATCGGCGGGGTCAGGGTCCAAAAACATAGGGGATTTGCCATTCTGAAATTCGGTGGTACCACTCACGCAGATCGGCGGGGTAAGGGTCCACAAACACAGGGGATTTGCCACATATCTGAAATTCGGTGGAAACCCTCACGCAGATCGGCGGGGTCATGTCCAAAAACACAAGGCATTTGCGACATTTCTGAAATTCTGTGGCACCAGTCATACAGATCGGCGGGGTCAGGGTCCAAAAACACACGGGAGTCGCCATATTCCTGCAAGTCGGTGGCACCTCTCACGCAGATCGGCGGGGTCAAGGTCCAAGCACACAAGGGATTTGCGACGTTTCTGAAATTCGGTGGCACCCCTCACGCATATCGGCGGGGTCAGGGTCCACAAACACCAGGGATTTGCCACATGTCTGAAATGAGGCAGCACCCCTCACGCAGATCGGCAGGGTCAGGGTCCAAAAACACAAGAGATTTGCCATATTCCTGAAAGCCGGTGGCACCTCTCACGCAGATCGGCGGGGTCAGGGTCCAAAAACACAAGGGATTTGCCACATTTCTGAAATGCAGTGGCACCACTCATGCAGATCGGCGGGGTCAGGGTCCACAAACAAAGGGGATTTGCGACGTTTCTGAAATTTGGCGGCACCCCTCACGCAGATCGGCGGGGTCAGGGTCCAAAAACACTGGGGATTTGCCACATTTCTGAAATTGACGGCACACCCCACGCAGATCCGCAGGGTCAGGGTCCAAAAGCACAGGGGACTTGCCACCTTTTTGAAATTCGGCGGTACCCTCACGCAGATCCATTGGGTCAGGTCCGAAAAATAAACAAGTCCCGACACTGCTTCACGGCGAAGCCAAAGCCTCATGACTTCGCTCTTCCATGGCCCATTCTCCGAGAGAGGGGGCCAGCGGCAGAGAGCGAAGCCCTTACGGAGATGCATATATACATATATATATATATATACACACACATACATACATACATATAATACGCATGGTAGAACAACGCGCGCGCTTCGCGCGCATTGAAAATCTAGCAAGCACCCGCCCTTGACACGTTCACACCTGTATGAATGCACGCACATTCCCAAACATGAAACGGCCCTGAAATGGAGGAACAACGCGAAGGCGGACGACGCAATGCAAAGCAGTGCAAAGCCGCAAAATGAATTGAACGCTTCGCAATGGCAGTGAAATCCAAGACGCGTCATCATATTAAACGAATGCCACAACAAACCGGTCGTCACGCCAAGAATCGGAAAGCAGTTCAAGGAACACTTAAGGAAACAATTGCACCGAAAGGTAACGCAGTGCAACCCAAGGCAAAGCTGAAAAATGTAAAGGAGCATGTTGCGAAGCATCAATACACAGTAACACACGCAATGCAAAACAATGCAGTGTCATCGAATGCGAAAAATCGATGAAACCGACAACCCAAAGAACGCGAGCTCGGATGGCGCAGGGACACGGAATCCTACGGAAGAGCCAAGGGAGCCTGGGCTGAAGATCGTAAGAGCCACCAGGCCCCCTGCACAGAGGAAGGGCTTGAGAGGGATGGGAAGAACACGGAGGGAGGGAGGGAGAAGGGACGCTGCTGCTGACGAGCGACTCCCCCGCCATGCTGAAGAAAATGCTTCAACGGGCTTGTCGGCGAGTCTTTCAGCGACAGGCGGCAGCTAAGCAGGGCCTCTCGTGCGGCCGATTGAGCTTCGATGTCGTCCGCAATCGATTGCGATCGTCTCGCGCCGGGCCCCTTGATCGCGGGTCGATCAAGAGCCTCGTTTGTGAAGCTGTGTGGAGCCACGATCAGGCGATCAAGGTCGGGTATGGCTTGGTCGACAATCGATGCGATATGTGCGACCTCTGCGGGGGCTGTAGCCTCAATCATGGAGGAGACGGTTGATCAGGGTTTGATCGATGAGGCCGCTGCCGCGGATCCTTTACTCCAGAGGCCCGTTTCCTCATCCAGGGGACGTGTTTCCTCGCCGTGCGTGATTGGGTTGAGCCCCCCGGGGACGCTGCGGTCGATCGCCACGGCGCCGCCCAGGCCGTGTGCCCCGCGCCGAACCCCTGGCGGCGCGATCTCGGGTCATAGTTGTCCTGGCGGCAGCTGTTTCCGTCATGAGATCGCCGAGCTGTCTGGCGCGGGATAAGGGCTCGTTTCGATCGACGGCTCGGGAGAAGGGTTGTGCCACATCTACGGGCCCGTTTACTCTCCCTCCTCCTTCCGAACTCCCGGTGCGCTGAGTTCGCGGCCCTTGCACGCGGTGGCATCGAGCCCTTGGACTGCGGCGGACCGCCGGCCTCGATGGCTGCGACCGAAGGTCTAGGCCGGGGGAACAAGGATCACCAGGAAGAAACGCAGTGTGGGCCAGATTTTGAGGATGTCTCGATCGGTGGCCAGACTCGTGGGCACAGATTCTCCTCAGGATGCCACAGGAGGTTCCAACAGGCTCCAGGAGACCACATGAGGTCCCAGGAGGCATCAGGAGGCCACAGAAAGACTCAAGAGGCCACAGGATGTCCCAAGAGGCTCTAGGAGGCCCCAGGAAGCTCCGGGAGGCCTCAGGAAGCCACAGGAGGCCCCAGGAGGCCAGAGGAAGTGTTCAGCGATTGTGCCAGCGTGATCTCCGCTCGCGCTGGGGATGAAGCCGCACAATTGAGCTACAGACGGCCTTCTGCAAGGCTGATGATGATTCATCGTCTCGGGGCATCATCTGCCCGGTCCGTCGTCCAAGTCGACGCCCAAAAAGACCCGCAGGAGGTGGGCATCTCACCCGAAGAGCGCTAGAAGCACCTCGGGAACGGTCTGGCCGACAGGGCCGCCAAGCTCCGGGCTGCCCTTCACACCCGAGCGACGGACGCAAATCTGCGTGTGCTGAACTGGCTAATCGAGGTCTCCAAGGCGGTGTGCAAGCTGGCAGCTAGGCTTTCTCCCGCTTTGGCCGCCGCTCGACTTGTCAAATTTCCCATACGTGCCGCCACCCGCGTCGCCTGCGCCTACGACGAAGCCACACAGGTGGGCTCTGGAGATGCGTGCGGTGTCTTGTGCTACCTTCTAGCGATACCAACATTGCTCTGTCTCGCGCAATTGTCGTGAGGCAGCAGCTGGAGGCTCCTTCGTGGACGCTTCGAAGCTGGACGGCCCTTCTCCTCGAGCATTCGGCCACATTGCAGTGACGCTCCCGGTGTCGGATGGCTCCTTCTGTACAGTCTGTCTGAAATACTACCATTATGCTGCGCTGGGTCACGTGCGGGGCTTGGCCCAGCGGTGCAGACAACCCAAGCAGAAAACGACCTACAACTGTAAAATTATGTGTGTAGAGGCCGTCACCCCGCGAGGTCAGAACTCAGCATCGAGCCAGCTCCGCGGCGCGAATAAATTGCATGATTGCACGTGGCGTCTCATTACAGCCGTGATGTCGCCGCGGTGACTGATCCGAAGGTCAAGCCGTGAGGGGCGGGGCCAGAGTAGGCGCTCCGAAAGGAACTCGCGAAGCCCCCGTTCCAAAGCGGCTCTCGCCGAGGCGCGGTTGTGCGATTCATTCTCCCCCGTTTTGAGTTTATCCTGCTGGCAGGCATTCCCAGCCACAAGTCACTGGCGGACGTAAGCAGCAGCGTCTCTGACCTCACGCGTCCTCGGTGCACTTTCCCAGGGTGCGGGGTACCCTCCACCCTGGTGTACACTTAGCAGTTCATGTCGGCAAAACAAACCTTCTCCTCCTCCTCCTCTCCCTCCTCCTCCTCCTCCTCCTCCTCCTTCTGTTCCTCCTCCTCCTCCTCTCCCTCCTCTTCATCCTCCTCCGCCTCCATCTCCTCCTCCTCCTCCTCCTCCTCCTCCTCCTCCTCATCATCATCATCATCATCATCATCATCATCATCATCATCATCATCATCATCATCATCATCATCATCATCATCATCATCATCATCAATTCAAGACCTCCTCATGCTCATCCTCCCCCGGTTCCTCCTCTTCCTCCTCATTCTCCTCCTCTGCGTCCTGACTCTGTCGACGTCGAAGATGGAGATGTCCCCTGGGGTGAAGGGTCGAGCAAATGAGTCTACCAGAGACTCGTCACCTTTCAGTGGCGGGTTGGACTCTGGAGCAACGAACTTTGGCTGAGTTCGTGGAGCACCTGGCTTCAGGCCCGTTCCAAACAACCTCCTCCTGTTCCTCCTCCTCCTCGTCCTCGTCCTCGTCCTCGTCCTCCTCCTCCTCCTACTCCTCCCTCCCCCTCCTCGCCCCTCCTCCTCCTCCTCCTCCTCCTCATCTGCTCCTCCGCCGCCTTCGCCTCCTCCTCCTCCTCCTCCTCCTCCTCCTCCTCCTCCTCCTCCTCCTCCGCATCCTCCTCCTACTCCTCCTTCTCATCTTCCGCTTCCTCCTCCTACTCCTCCTCGTCCTCCTCCGCACCCTCCTCGCCCTCCCTTCGCATCCTGTCCTGCTCCTTCCCAGGGCTCTGGAGGGCGGCGGGGCGGTGGGGCTGACATTCTCGTGGTTCAGCTCCTGGGCGAGGCGTGCGCGTCGCAAGGGCGCGGCGGGCGGCCCCTGCTGCCCCCACAGGCTAGGAGAAACAGGAGGAGGAGGAGGAGGATTTGTTCGCATCCACCATACCGCAACCCAACGTACACCCCAGGAGGTGGGCGAAGACCTCTGGAGGAAGGTCAACATTCCGAACAGCGAAGTCACCGCACTGAAAGACGACCGAGTGTCGCGCTATGCGCTGTGCACATAAGGTTTCGCGACACTCGAAAAATTCAAAACGTGTTTAGATCAACGGATACCCCAGGCCGTTTCAGATGGAGCCTCGGTTTGCCAAACCATCCTGTGGTGTCGGGTCCTCGTTTTGAAGAGACAGCGCCCCGTGTTCTCACTCCTCCCGCTGCCCCCTTCCCTCCTCCTCTCCTCATCATCATCATCGTTATCACTCGTTTAAGCACACCCCTCACACGTTTCGTGGCCCCATAGGGAGCCCCACCGAAGGCACAAGTGCCAGCGTTCGCATCGCGCCAGCGCACTTTTCTTGGCACACCCCTCACACGTTTCGAGGCCCCATAGGGAGCCCCACCGAAAGCCCAAATGGCAGGGTTCGCATGCGGCCACCGCACCCATTTCGGCATGCCCCTCACACGTCTCGTGGCAACACAGGGAAGCCCACCGAAGGCCCCAGTGGCAGGGTTCGCATGGCGCCACCGCACCCATGTCGGCACACCCCTCACACGCTTCGGAGCCCCATAGGGAACTCCACGAAAGGCCCCAGATGCCGGCGTTCGCATGCGGCCGCCGCACTCATTCTGGTACACCCCTCACACGCGTCGAGGCCCCAGAGAGAGCCCCACCGAAGACCCAGATGCCAGCGTTCGCGTGCAGCCACCGCACCCATTTCGGCACACCCCTCACACGTTTCGTGGCCCCACAGGGAGCCCCACCGAAGGCCCAAATGCCAGCGCTCGCATGGAGCCACCGCACCCATTTCGGCACACCCCTCACACGTTTCGTGGCCCCATAAGGAGCTCCACGAAAAGTCCCGGATGCCAGCGTTCGCATGCAACCACCGCACGCATTCTGGCACACCCCTCACACGTTTCGTGGTCCCATAGGGAGCTCCACCGAAGGCCCAGGTGCCAGCGCTCGCATCGCGCCACCGCACCCATTTCGGCACACCCCTCACACGTTTAGTGAACCCACAGGGAGTTCTACCGAATGCGGTGCACACAACGACGGTGCCCACAGCTGCTCATGGTTGGGCCCTTCGCCGAGCTAATATGATTACACCGATTGCGGTACAATGCCAGCGTCTGGCTCACAGTTTCTCGAAGTTCCTGAGCTGACCCCCGTCGACATAGAAGAGCACTTGTGGCAAATCCACAAAACAACTTATCCTGGCGAAGGACCCCACCATATGCAATTGTGAATACAGCAGATGTGAACCCCGCCTTCGGTGGGGCTCCCTGTGGGACCACAAAACGCGTGAGGGGAGTGTCGAAATGGGCGCGGTTGCGCCATGCGAACCCTGCCTATGTGGCCGTCGGTGGAACTCACTGTGGCGCCACGAAGCGTGTGAGGGGTGTGCCGAAATGGGTGCGGTGGCGCCATGCGAACCCTGCCACTGGGGCCTTCGGTGGAACTCCCTGTGGGGCCACGAAACGTGTGACGGGTGTGCCGAAATGGGTGCGGCGGCCGCATGCGAACCCTGCCGCTGGGGTTTTCGGTGGAGCTCTCTGGGGCCACGAAACGTGTGAGGGGTGTGCCGAAATGGGTGCGGTGGCGCGATGCGAATCCTGCCACTGGGGCCTTCGGTGGGTCTCCCTATGGGGCCACGAATCGCTGTCCTGGGTATGCCGAAACGGAAGCCTGCGGAGGGCAGAGGCAATGATGAGGGAGGAGGGATGAGGGGGAGGAGGAGGAGGAGGACAGGACCTCGAGAGGAGAGGCGAGGAAGGGGACGCGGGGCAATGGGGCCACGGAACGTGTGAGGGGTGTGCCGAAATGAGCGCGGTGGCGCCATGCGAACCCTGCCACTGGGGCCGTCGGTGTGGCTCCCCGATGGGGCCGCGAAGCGCCTGAAGGGTGTGCCGGAATGGGCGCGGTGGCGCCATGCGAACCCTGCCACCGGGGCCTTCGGTAGAACTCCCTGTGGGGCCACGAAACGTGTGAGGGATTGTGCCGAAATGGGTGCGGTGGCGCCATGCGAACCCTGCCACTGGAGCCTTCGATGGAGCTCCCTCTGGGGCCACGAAGCGCTGCATTGAGAATGCCGAAACGGAAACATGCGGAGAGCAGAAGCAAGGAGGGGGGGAGGAGGGGGAGGAGGGAGAGAGGAGAAGAGAAGAGAGGAGAGGAAAGGAAAGGAGAGGAGGGGAGGAGAAGAGGAGAGGAGAGGAAGGAGACGCGGGGCGATGGGGCCACGAAACGTGTGAGGGGTGTGCCGAAATAGGCGCGGTGGCGCCATGGTGTCAAGATCTGGCGTGAAGCCGATATGGTCCAGATGTTCCTCCGCAAGCGGCTCGTCCATCTACGTGATCTTGTCAAGGGGTAGGGGAGTAGGGGGGGAGGAGGAGGAGGAGGAGGATGAGGAGGAGGAGGAGGAGGAGGAGGAGGAGGAGGAGCAAAAGAAGGGAGTGAGGAGGAGAGGAGACAGCAGGAGAAGGGCGGAAGGGAGGGATGACTAAGACTGAGACTGACCCTGTGGAGCAGAGCCCCCCTCGTCCAAAGACGCAGTGCTAGCTCACATCTCCTCCTGAGGCAGCCCATCAGGGGAAACTCTGGCATGAACAAACTTACACCACTGAGCAAACTCTACAAGAGCGGTCGGCGAGACAAACCCGTGCAACTTAGCGACCTCCTGGTCCTGCAGCCAGGACGGGGGGGGGAGGAGGCAGAAAGGAGGGATGGGGAATCGAACCCGCCCAACCTGAATCCCTGGACGCCTTTTGGGCTCCGTCCCGACCCCGTCCTCCGAGCCACGGCCAGGCCAGCCGCGAGCAGGCCACGGCCGCGGCTGGCCAGGCCACAGGATGCCCCGCCAAAAAGAACAAACACCGAGAGGGCCCTCGAAGCCTCGACCCCGGACCTGCATCGTCGTCGTCGCCGCCGCCATCGTCATCGGGGCAGGCCAGTAGCCTCCAACAAAAAGGCCGAGAGGGCCTCTGAAGCCTCGACACCAGTCCTACATCTTCGTCGTCGTCGCCGCCGCCACCACCATCGTCGTCGTCATAGCAGCCGTCGTCGTCGTCGTCGTCACCGCCGCCGCCGCGCCGCCGCCGTCGCCGCTGCCCGCCGAAAACGGGCTCCTTGAGCAGCGCGATCTCGCGGAGCGCGGTGCTCGGAACGCCCTGGGCGAAAGCTCCGCGGCAGGAGTGGGCTCCTCTTGCTGCTCCCCTCGACCTCTCGCGGGTGGTGTTCTTTGGATTGGTTTTACTTGTTTGCGCCCAGGTGGGGACGGACATGACATGATGAGGGATTTGTTGGCCCCCAGATGTCTGTCCTCACTCCAAGGCGTTCGGTTTTGCTTTTCCCCTCCCTTCCTCCTCCTCCCAGGGGTCGGGCACTGTTTCTTGCTACATTCGGGCCCTCCTGATTCAGGATCCCCGCGGCCAAGCCTCGGGATCGGACATCGGCCTCTCCGCCATCCCCTCTTCTGGCGAGGACCATCATAGGACCATCTGGTGGTGACCATCGTAGGCGCCACCCTTCGGCAGCTACCATCATAGGGGTTGCGGGGGTCCCACCCCCATCAGTACACCAATACATGAAGCCGCCATTGGCACCTGAGGGGGCCGAGGCCCTCCCTACGGCCCCATCGACCAACGGAGACGGCCGCAGGGAGGGGTGCCAACGTACCCCACTACACCTCAAGGCGCCAACTGCCACCATCCAGCCTTTTCCTCCCTCCTCCATCAATCCTCTATTCTCCTCCTCCTCCCCTCCGTCCCTCCCTCCACCCTCCCTCCCTCCCTCCCTCCCTCCCTCCTCTCCTCCCTCCTCCTCCATCCCTCCCAACCAGCTCCCTCCCTCCCTCCCTCCCTCCCTCCCTCCGTCCTCCCTCCATCACTCCCTCCCTTCATCATCACCATCATCATCATCATCACCATCATCATCATCATCATCATCATCATCATCATCATCATCATCATCATCATCATCATCATCATCATCATCATCATCATCATCATCATCATCATCATCATCATCATCAGCATCATCATCATCAAAGGCCGCCGCGCGCTCAGGTCATTGATGGAGCAGCGGCCTCCAGTCACCGCCCCCTTGCCATGCCCAAAAGGCAGGGGGCCGCTTGACGACACCCCGCACACCGCCAGGCCGCCATGGCCGTGCTCCGGAGCGCGGGCGCCGCGCACCTGCTGAGCACAGGACTCGCTACGCTGACCCTGAACTACTGGACGCTGAGCTTCAACTTCAACATCATCACGAACACAGAGGGCCAGCACAGGCACACCACGCGGCCCATGAATTGCCACAAGTGGAACAATTGCACGCTGAACGTGACTGGCCACATGGACTACCCCACCCAGATTGCGAAGGACTACTGGACACTGAAAATCAACTCCAACATCATCACGAACATAGAGGGCCAGCACATGCAGGATTACAACACGCTGACCCTGAACGACTGGACGCTGAACTTCAAATTCAACATCCTCACGAACACAGAGGGCCAGTACGTGCAGGACTGGACGCTGAGCTTCAAGTTCAACATCCTCACGAACACAGAGGGCCAGCACAGGCAGGACTACGACACGCTGATCCCGAACTACTGGACGCTGAGCTTCAATTTCAACATCCTCACGAACACAGAGGGCCAACACATGCAGAACTACACCACGCGGCCCCTGAATTGCCACCAGTGGAACGATTGCACGCTGAACGTGACTTGCCACATGCTGCTTCAGATTACGCACAAGACCAGGTTGAATGGCAGCAACAAAACGGACGCCTACACGATGAGGAAAGAGCTCCCAGGGATCATAGCCATCACGCAGGAGATCGAAGGCTACAAGTACACCCTGGACTCCCCCCTCAGGAAGAGCGACACCCCAGAGGACAAGAAACGCCTGCAGGAGATAGGGTCGCCAGCGCCCCCCTTCGCGCTGGCGATCTTGGAAGGACTGTACAAGTGTGACGTGGGCGGCTCCATGGAGGGTGCCATTCGGAACCACCTGCACCGAGCGGAGACCGAGGACATCGAGGCAGAACACAGAGGGCCAGCACATGCAGGATCACACCACGCGGCTCCTGAATTACTACCAGTGGAACAATTGCACGCCGAACGTGACTTGCCACCTGGACCACTACATCCACACCCAGCTCGCGAAGGACTACTGGATGTCCCAGGGCATCTCGACCACATCTCCGACACATGCCGTGCAAATCAGACTATGATGTACGCAGGCATTAAGATCCGCCAGTGCACTACCGACGCCCCGCATCATTTCGAGGACTGCCGCTATCATACATGGGTCCATTTCGGATGGGGTCGCGGGGCACACGCGAGCAGCTCAGCAAGTCACAGCATCGCAGTATCCAAGCGCCAAAGCCGCAAGATAGATATCGACAAGGTACGGCACCCCCCACAATCTGACCTACGGGGCGCGGGCGCCGTCGAGCTTCATCGAGGCCAGCTCCGCTCTCGACTCACTGCTGCGTATTCCCCACCGCGGCCGAACGGAGCAGGTCATTACCAACGCTGGAAAGCAGGATGCCGCCGACCATGGAGCTGGATACCGCAGGCACATACCGACATCCCTATTCGCGTCATGCCCATCCTGTTCACGGACCTCAACCAAGGGCCAGGACGACGATCACGACAGCGCCGCACCGACAACGCAATCGGCAGCTACCAACCCAGCGACGAGACCGAGCTCGGACGCTTGATTCACGACAAGTTCCTGACGCACCAGCTGACAGCCATCAACTTGCACATCGACGTCGGCAATACCTACTACGGGCACACCAAAGCTAGATCAAGCATCAACTACTTCATCGGCCACGACAACTTCATGGAAATCGTGAAGCACGTGAAGATGAATTGGAAGATCCACACAAAGCTAAGTAGCCTACTACATGTTGCCGACCACATCCCCATGATTATGCAGATCAAGATGCCTGTCAGCGGCGCCAACATCACGAACAACAACATCCGCTGGGACTATGGCCTACTTGCTGCTGGGCTCCAGACGGGCGCCCACCGTGCGTCTTCGCTCAACGACGCCTACGCCGAGATTAGCAAACACAAGGAGGCCCTCCGAGTTGTCAAGATGGACCAGTGGGCTCCCCCCAAGGCCAGCGTGAGCACCTCTTCCCTCCTCTCGGCGACAACGCACGACGGGACGGACACCGACGACGAGACAAACCCCACCTTCGAGTGCAACATCGGGTCGTGCCAGAAACGGATTACCACGCGCTCGGCCACTCCAAATGCTCCCCCGCCGCGCCCTGCGCCATCCAGATGCCGTCCCTCGCCCGCCATCGAGGACACCCCTGATGCAAGCGCGTCCAACTGCCAGTCGGTGGAACACATCGCGGGCAGCGACCTACGCAGCAGACCTAAACATCGACCACTTCGACGGCTACAAGCAGCACAGCGCCCAGCAGCAGTATATGTAGCGCCCACGCGGACGATCCGAGTGGCTAATGTTTCCTCTACGCCTACTCTCCCTGGACAGGGGGGCGACGCCCAAGCGGAGAGCGACGTGGCGACTCCCACTGGACCCCTCCCAGGGCTCGAAGGGCTCGGGCACCGCTACGATGACACCAAGCAGAAGCTGGTGACCGGCGCGCCCATGTGGGAGGGCCAGGCGGTCCACCACCGAGGCGTGGCCCCAGTGGGCTGGCCCGAGGAGGAGGTAGGCCACTGGCTAGAGACGCCCGAGCAGTGGACCCGCCTTTTTGCCAGAGCGAGCATGTCTTTCTGCCAGAGCGAGCCTGCACGCCACAGCGCAGGCCACAGCGCAAAGGAGGCGAGTCCACGCCGTGTCAAAATGTTGTTGTTCGAGGCTAAAGCCTCCCTGCCAGTAGCAGCACGGTCACGGTCACATCCCGCCCTCCTCCGTCGCGCCTCCCCCGCCCCCCTGCCGTGCCAGCACATGCAGAGGAGCTTCGTGAGGTGGAGGCCCCACCCCACCTGAGTTCAATTGCCGAAGACGAAGCGGCCAATATTATTCAGCTAGCATTTCGACGCTGCTAGGCACGCGCTGCGCAGGAGGCCCCTCCGAGCAGCACCCTGGCAGTCTGGCCCAAGCGGGGCAACACGAGACAGTCGGCTCTCTGCGACGGATCTCTCAAGTCTGGTTTCAGTGTATACTATATTTTGATATCAGATATTGGTCCTGGCGTCGAGGAAAAAATCATCATCCTCATCATCATCATCATCATCCTCATCATCATCATCATCATCATCATCATCATCATCATCATCATCATCATCATCATCGTCATCATCTTCATCATCATCAGCATCAGCATCATCAGCATCATCATCATCATCATCAACATCATCAACATCATCATCATCATCAGCAGCATCAGCAGCATCATCATCAGCATCAGCATCATCAGCATCATCATCAGCAACAGCAGCCGCATCAGTATCATCATGATCATCATCATCATCATCATCATCATCAGCAGCAGCATCATCAGCATCATCATCAGCAGCATCAGCATCATCGTCATTATCATCATCACCATCATCATCGTCAGCAGCAGCATCAGTATCATCATGAACATCATCAGCATCATCATCCCAATCAGCATCGTCATCATCATCATCATCGCCACGTCCTGATCACCATCATCAACAACATCATCATCATGACCCTCATCAACAACATAATTATAATACTCATAATCATCGCCATCACCATCAACACCACCACCATCATCGTCATCAGCATGATCATCATCATCAGCAGCAGCAGCATCATCATCATCATCGCCATCATCATCATCATCACCATCATATGGGACACACAGAGACATACTAGTACTAGATGTCCTCCTTGGAGGCGCGCGTCCGACCCGAACATGTAGTATACCCATCTTGTAGTATATCGTTTCCCGAGCGGTGTGGCCAGAAAGCGCCCGCCAAGACGCATATACTATAAGATTTCTCGGTGCGCGCGTCGCCCCTGGGGGGGCGACGCACATATAGTATAAGTATGTTGGGGTGTTGCCGATCATAAGCAGCAGCACCACCATCATCATCAGCATTGTCATCATCACCATAACCCTGACCATCACCATCACAATCAACATCACCATCGCCATCCCCGTCATCATCATCATAATCATCAGCATCAGCATGAGCATAACC